CATCTCCACCTTCTCTGAACCAATGGTAGTGAACTGGATGGTAGGCTTGGGTGTTGCTGCAAGGTCAATCACCGCTCCCAATTCCCTGAGCTGTGGTAGCCCAAGGAGCAACGGAACATCTGAATTGGGAAGGCGATGCAATGCCACTCTGCCCTTCTGACCTGCAATGTTGATATCAATCCATTGCTGATGATGAACCATCACTGGGGCGTCTGCGTTCACTCCTTTCAACACCTTGTTGGACTCCTGCAGCTTCGTCTCACTTCCGAACCGCTCAACGAACTTGTCCGGAGTGCGATCACCTCTGCAACCGATCAACGCTGCCGTGTCCATCACACATCTGCCTGCTGGAACTGCTCCACTGCTGGTGTTGTTCGTGAATGTCAAACTGTGTGGAATTGCTTCTGTCTCAAGGTTCTGGGTCATGTAGGCTTCCACTTCATTCAACATTTCATCATAGTCCCCCAGGTTTGGAAACATGTCATGATCCCCTTCGATGTGAAATGCCAGATCAAAATAATCAGCCAACTCATTCGCACCAACACATGACAATGCTTCGTGGCACGACTGAAGCAACTGACCTGATGCTGATGCCAACATTGCTGCTGCCATGCCTGCTCGCTGCAAGAAACCTCCTTTCCTGCCACCCTTCTTTCCATGGCCTTTCTTGCCACCTTTGGAGCTGGGTGACCCGGGGCTCTTGGGGCAACTTCGATCGCCACGCCAATGACCCTTCTGACCACAATCGTAGCATTGTGTGCGAGCCTTCACCTGTTGGATCTTGTCTTGGAGCTGTCCTGCATTGAGTGTCAACTTCCCATCCAACGCTATTGCTGTTTTGTTGTGACCGATGGCATTGGATTGCGGCTGAAAACCACGATTGGTCTTCCCATCTCTCACTGCCTGCCTCTTTCTGGCATACTCGGAAGCACCTTTTCCCATCTTTTGGATTGCAGCCGCGAAGACATCCAATTCCTCGTTGGTCAAATCCTCAACTGTCATGATTTCAACTGCATGCTCCATCTCTTCAATGTCATGTTGAATGTCCTCTTCAACCTCATAGATCGGGATGTCATCATCTGTTGGCTCTTCTGCATACCATTCATCAATGGCATAGGCTTCCTCGGTCTCCCCATCATAGCTTGACCATTCTTCTTCGATGGGGAAGGCCCAAGAGCTTCGTTTTCCTCCCGAGCCAAAGCTGTTTTGCGAGCAAGACTTGCAGTCTCCTTTCCATCCCTTGCCAGTCAACTCATCTCCACCATCAAGCTGAATGAGCATGGCCTCCACGATCTTGTCCCAATCATATTCATTTCCAGCCTGGCCCAAAATGGCTCTGTGCTGGCTTGGGTTCACACCTGCATTCCTCAAAAGGAAAAAGGCCTGGAGGTCGGTGGAGAGCTTTGTATGACCCTGTGTAAGTCCTGTCAGCTTCTCATACTCGCTCTCTCTTCTGCTGATGTAGTCCTGGATGCTCTCTCCCAAGCGGCGCCGTCCCTTGTCGAAGAAGTAATCTTCAAAGGTCTGAGTCTTCAGCAATGGAGCGACCTTCTCACATGCAGCTCTGACCGTCTTCACCACCAACTGAACAGCTGCTTTGGGACCTGCACTGGCGCTTGCTTCGGCCTCGCTGAGCTGGAGGAGCTTCTGGGCCGCGATCTCAGGCTTGCGATGACAGAGGGTCCAAGCTCTCCCAAATATGGTGTTCTTCAACTTGGCGGCGTAGCTGACCTTGTCATCTTTTGGGACCGTCTGAAATCCCAGCCAGACCCTCTCCTCATATTCTTCAGCCAGCTTCGGGCTTCCATCATAGTGAACCACGTTGGACTTGGGGTCAACAAAAAGCGACTGTCCTGAAGAGCTCGACATCCTCAAAACTCAAATAAATCCGTGCAATGTGAAACTGTGGGCTCAAAAATCAAAATTGTGCACTCAATTCCAACGGCAACCACCACAGGATACAGTACACCAATACTCGTGAATCAACACTTCCGGTATAAAAGTGTCCAAATATCACCCTGGCCAGCCTCGACAAAATGAAAGCACTGTACGGCAATCACCTGTCACCAACAACCAAGCTCCCTCAGTGGGGTGAGAGCGTCCAGCTAAGCACGAACACAATGGCACGCCAACCGAAGAGCCAAAATAGGCTCCGCCTACCAGTGTCAAAGCGCGAGAACCCTGGCGGACAGCTTTTCTTCTGCCCACCTCGAGAGGCTCAAGGCCTAAAAGGTTCACCGGGATTCGAGCACCTGTCGTGACCGTATAGGTGTCCCGATCGTGTCCCGTCCGGCTACGATGTCATGCTCGGCTCAGAACAATCATGAAGCTGGTTTCAAATCTTCACAGTACGTACCTCTGGGTTCTTCTGGTATCTCTCTCATGTATGTACATGTGTGTACATCTTGGAATGTTATTCCAAAAATTATTCCAAATTTATAGGTAGTACCTTGAACCACTACCTAGGTAAAATATTATTCCAGAAATATTATTCCAAAAAACTATTCCAGTAGGTCAGATGACCCCTGGAATACTTTTTTAAGCCACCCCCTATCCCAAAACCTCTGGGCCCAGATGATGATGGTTCAGTTGCAGGCCCACATCTCCAGGTTCAAAATAGTGATGTTCTTGTGAAACCCGACGGGTCTAACTAGGGCTCTGCAGGTCCCCTAGGGAGTAAAAGCTCAGCACATGACCCGAGGGATGGCCCCAAAGTCGGATGCCCATCCTCCTCCAAAGCCTAACAAAAAAGTTCTTCACAATCCCTGCAAAAAGCAACCTCTCCCAGAAGCTGAAAGCTGTCCTCCGAAAGCTGTGCGCATCTCAAATCACCCCCATCTTTGGGTTTGGGTGTTCCGCGCCAAAGCTTGGCTGCAACGCCATTGGGTTCTTGCGGAATTCTGATAATATGTGGGGTCAAGGCGGTCAAGGGCGAGACCAACAGGGTTGAATGGCTGAATTGACAGTTGTGACCCGTCCGCACACTTTTCGAGCAACTCTTGCAAGACTGGGATGTCTTGTGTTCGTCTTTCAGGTGCCTTTTGCCATTTTCAATATTGAAAACACTTCAACTGAACACGTCAACACCCAAGTTTTTCGAAAGAAGCGCGATCCGAGCGCGAAAAGGCTTCGCTGGCTTCTTCGAAGTCCAGCGGGACAAGAAACTGCGGCGGGGTAGGAGACTCTTACCAAACTCGGTAAGGTATCATGTTTCTTGAAAGCTGCACCCAAGAATCTGCACCCAAGCTGTCACGGAAAGGGGTTCAACATGACTGAAACACCATGAAACACCCATGTGTGTGCATTTCTTTCACCAGGGCCTCTGGGAAGAAGAACAAGCAAACCAGAATCTAGAAGCTGATTCTTGCAATCTTGCTGTGGGTGCAGCAACAGACGCAGAGCCTTTCCTCAATCCAACTTTGGGACGATGACCAGCTCTCTCCAAAAAGAAGTCTGAGATACTCTGAGATCACCAATTGTGGGCCCCCTAATGCACGACCCCCAATTCATGATTATCATGATTATGATTGATGGATTTTGGCGGAAGGGGATGGATTGCCCTGCACCTTCCAGGAGGAAAACACGTATTTGAACCGACTTAACCCAGTCCCAATTTCCACGTGCACGTCTGAATGTGAATTAATCCATCCTATCAGTTCTTCTCAGCAATGCACTTGCTTAGCTTGGCAACTGGTTCGGCACACATGGATCTGATCCCGGCAAACATACGAACACTTCCACTGGCGGCGCCGGCTTGGCGTCAGCACAGCCGGCGCAGCGCAGTTGATCCAAACTTGCCTGATGACAAGCTTGACAAACGTCCTCCGCCTTCGAGAGATCGACTACCGCCTTCCGGAGCAAGGCTTCAAGTTCCTCGACCTTTCTTGCAAGTTTTTGCGAGGTTTCTTCTTGCAGACGTTTGGCTGAAGTCACTCGGTCCAATTCGGCGAAATGGATGGCTTTGAGGCGCTCTTGTTCTTTCTCTTCCTGCTCAACCAAAGCTCTCCACTCTTCAGCCTGACGAAGTGCCTCTTGCTGCGAAAGCTTGGATTCCCGAAGGATTTCTTTCAAGTCTGTGATCCGGGGGAAGGCCCTGTTCTCTAAAGCCACGACGGATTTTTTGACCTTGCGGTGCGCCTTCTTGATCTCTTGAAATCTACCTTCCAGATGGTGCTTCTGGTGCTTGAGATGGTGATTCTCATGCCGAGCTTCTGCCAGTTCGGACTTGGTCCTTCGAAGAAGTACTTCAGAAAACCTCCGATGCCACGGAGCCTCGGCGTTCGGATGTGGAGCTCCCTCCGGGTAGGCTTCATGCTCGGAATCCGAGTCCACGTGACATGGACAGGGTGGGCGCTCGGAGCGCGGGGCTGCCATGGTGCGCGCCCCGAAATCGGGTGAAGCAAGAATTACCCAGTGGATCGCAGGCAAACCACTATATAAGGAACCAGGGGTTCTAGGTCTATGGTTTTAGTCTTTGGAACCACTGCTTACAGGAGCTATAGTGGAAATTGGATGCCCTGGGTTGAGGAATAGAAGAGGGTACACTTTACATGATTGCGCTAATCTTACCCCAGTTTTGCGCTGGCTGATCATGGAATGTGATATTGCTGTGCTTGTCTACTTGCATCTACTTGCATTCGAGCCCATCTGCCTGAAGGTGGACAATTCCGTTAACAACATTGTGTTCACCATGACTGGGGCAAACATGCAAAAGAATGAAGTGGAGCAACTGAGTTGATCAAGAATAGTACACTCCTCATGTCATCCAGCACCCAAAATCCATCCGAAACAGCGTGAGCGAGCCGCCTAAAAGGGTTCTGCAAGCCATACTCTTCCAGCCTCAGCCTCAGGGTTTCATAGAAGAAACTCTGCTCGATTTATCCCATTTACATGAATACCTGGCCGATCTGAACTGATCACTCTCCGCCATCACTCTTCTCTGCTCTGCAAGAAACCCCATATCCGGCACCCGATTCCAGGAGTTCGGCAGCGCACCTGTCCTTCCAACGTTCGCAGCTTTGCGACCTCCCATTGCTCCGACATGCTCCGACTGATCGATCATCCTGGGCACGGCTGTGCTTAAGCATGCTGCGCAGCCGTTTTGCCGAAGCACATCTCTTGACTACATCGAATTCGATACGTTTCCGCCAAAGTCAAGTGTTGAGACCAAGTCAACGACATCCAAGTTCATCCTTTCATCGCCAGCAGGCTCAAAGTTAAGTCTGGCTGGACCATAAACTGCGGCATGATCAAAGACACTTACCAAACATGGCAAAGTGTCATACGGACCATCCGTCCTGGAAGCTGCACCCAAACATCTTGACTCTTTGACGTCTTGTTTTATAATATGCCAAGCAATAAGGCCGCCTTAAGGCCTTTCTAGAGCAAACAAATCCAGAACCTGATTGTTGCCATGAGAACGCTGGGGTGCAGCGAAAAGTCGCAGTGCTATTCCTCAATCCAACTTTGGGACGATGTTAAGCACTCTCCGAGGACACGATTTTCGAAGTCTCCGGTTGAGTCGAGACTGCATCATCTCACTAGTGGACCCCATTTGAACATACACTACTGAACGCCAGTGGAACCTGATGGCTTCGATTTTCGATGCAGTCCCCTTTTTGTTCATGTGCAGCCCTGCATATATGGATTTGTGAAATCCATCTTCTCAGAAGGACTCAACATGGTTTAAGCCCGATGCCATTCTTCAGCTTGGCAATTGCTTCGGCACTCAGGGATGGACTGAGTCCTGCAAACGTAGGACACCTCCACCGGATGCGCCGACCGGGCGTCGGCACAGCCGCAGCTGAAGGGGTCGGAGAGATCGCGAAGCAGAACTTGAAGCTCCTCCACTCTGCGTGCAAGCCTTTGCGAGATTTCCTCGTCCACCTCTTTGGCTGAAGCAACCTTTTGCAATTCGTCCTCATACTTCTTTCTGAGCTGCGTAGTTTGCATCTTGGCATTCTCAGCGGCAGCCCACGCTTCTCCAGCAGAAAGCTGTGCCTCGGCATTCGCACTTCTGGATGCGGCCAGCCGTTCCTTCAAGTCATTCACTCTGGGAGAGCCTTGGTTCTTTAAGATCCCTTCCACAATCTTAGTCTTCTTAATCTTGTCCTTTTCTGTCTTAATTTTCTCTTGAAGGTGCTTGACATGAGACTCGAGCTTGTGATTCTCATGCCGAGTCTTCGCAAGCTCCTTCTTGGTCTTTTGAAAAAAGATTTCAGTATAAGCCCAATGCGACGGGGCGTGGGGATCCGGATGTTGACCGAAATCAAGGCGTTCATCCTCCGAACCAGACTGATAGTCGGAAGCGGACTCATCGGGAGACTCTGCCATGGTGCGCGGTGGTGGGAAGAAAGTAGAGAAGTTGGGAGGAAAAGTAACGAATCAGGAAGTTGCTTTCTCCTTGGATGTCGAGCCCATCTGCCTGAAGGTGGACAATTCCGTCAACAACATTGTGTTCACCGAGCAACTTAGCTGATCATCAAAGACTTCACTCCTCATGTCAAGCATCCAAAACCCATCAAAAACAGCATGAGCCTGAGTGTTCCGCCCTGTCTGTTGTCCGCCCTGTCTGTTGCACGTTCAGCCTCAGGTCGTGTCAAAAGAATGTCCCATTTGCATGAATGAACACCTTGCTCTCCACTAATTACTACAACACTCAACTCTTTTCAGGAAGAAACACCATCAGGTAGAGAACATAAGAGTCCACCAGATCCGACAGCAGGTCCATCCGAAACGCCACGCCTGATGAATCGGTCAAGCTTGATTCATCGAAAACGGATGATGGATTCTATCACAAGAATTGTAGACAGTGGATTGAGAGGACCAATGGCACAGACCCCAATGTCGGTGGTTTATATGGGCCCATCTAAAAGACATCTTGAGGTCTGTGTAACTTTCTCGGCACCACATGCCTGAAAGATTGACCGATTCCTTTTTTTCACGTCACGTCCATCGTGGTGGACGATGGACGCCCATCAACTGCAACAATATCTGCTACATGATTGCTGCAATTTACATCTAAACTTGCAGCTAATATACAGGACATATCATGTTATAATGTATATATTCTGCATACATGTAGAAGGTCCCTCCCTCCCTCCGAGTTGGATCATGTCCATCATCTGCTACCTCCGCAACGCACCTGGGTCCGAAACGTGCCCTCCGCACTGCTCCTGGTGGATCGGTCGACACGTGACGAGCGAACGAGACGAACGAGTGCTACCAGTGTTTCGGTAGAAGGCCCTCCTCCAAGCCACCAACTACAACCAGCAACTAATGTAGTCCTCAGATTAATAAAGACCCCTAGAATTATGTCTTTTTTTTCCCCTGCACTGATTAATAAAGGCCCCTAGAATAATGTCTTTTTTTTTTGGAGGGGTAGTTGTAGTGGATTTTTTTTATTGTTATAGTTTACTTTTTCCCTTTTGAATTTGCTGGGATTTGCTTATCTTACAGGCTTTTGGATTGAGATTTCTATCAAACATTTGGAGATTTCCATTGAGATTTGATTCTTTTGGAGGCTTTTGGATGGAGATTTCTATTGAAAATTTGGAGATTTCCATTGAGATTTGATGCTTTTGGAG